TAATTACAAACTAAAGAGGGATAAATTGTAATTTCATATTAAAACTATGTGATTTCTAAAATTTACCCATTTCAATTTACGACATTTTAGAATTATGATGATGATTTTAAATAATAATAATTAAGTTTTAAATTTGATATTTATATATATTAACATAAATATATTATTCTAATAAAATTTATTAAACTTAAATAAACATACAGACTACTAGCTCCGCCCATAATTACTACCCTAATCATGTTAATTTGCAATAGGAGAATCCTTAAAGAACCGAAAGATAACTATAAATGAAAATATGACTTTTTTTTTCTTTCTTGAAGTCTATAACTTTGACTCTTCCAAGATAATGTACCTTATTATATTACTAATATAAATGGAGCTAGAATATCAATTATGAATTTGGAATAATGATTATAATTTTTATTTAAATCATATATTTATATTTTAAAATTATTAAAATCATATATTTATATTTTAAAATTATTAAAATATATAAATATTAATTATGAATTCAATAACTAAGACAACCGAAATTCATCAATGATAAATTTATAAACTTTAAATTAAAAAAATTATAAACTTCAAATTCAGAAATATACATACATATACACTTAATAATAATAATAATAATGATAATAATAATAATAATAATAATAATAATGGATGTAGCTACGTATGGTGAATTTCATACAACTCACCGCATTTATATCAGGCCCACTCTGACGGTGGATCGGATAATTTTTCGTCTTATTTTATAATCGTGGCAATTGAGGTAAATTGTGCGTATCTCAACTAGTTTCGAGTGATATTTATCACCACCGATCAGTATATGTATCAAATAATTTTATTCACAAAAGCTAGAATACATAGCAAGAAATCATCTAATGTTTTGTCTCTATTGGAGATTGAATTTGAGACTTCATGATGTCAACGTACTTCATAGATGACTAGACGACACACTTGAATGCTAAATCGAGTGAATTTAAAATTTATGTTTTATGAATTTAATATCTAAACATTTTCATATAATTTTTTTGTTGGAATTTTCATGAATTTTCGTTTATAAATTTACTTTTTACGTTTAAATTATTGAATTCAGATAAACACGATATTTATACTTTCCATTCGCTTCATACAAGAATAGAGAGTTAGAGACCCATCACTTTTCTTGGTAGAAACTTAGGACATTTATTTGTATTAAAAACTCAAAAACCCAATAAATATATGACATGTGTGTATAAACACTCCAATATGATAAATTAATATATAAATTGAATATGAATATTTTTTATTTTTTTATTGTCAAGTTGCTTAAGATTTTTTTATATAATATATTATTTAATTTTAGCAGCCATTTGTGACTCCATAAATTGTTGACCCACCAAAAGAAACATGGCGTGTGGTAGTAGCAAGTTCTTCATGTCCCAACAAGTTGTAATTGTCCAAAAATAAAAGAATCTTAATTAAAAAACAACAAAGAAAAGAATACATTATACTTTTTTTATATTGAATTAATTATTATTATTATAATAACACTCAGATATAGGTGGACAGAAAAATCTGTCGTTATTTTATTATTAATAAAAAATAATAATTAATGATAATAATAATGTTATGATAACTCACAAAGAAAATGATAGAGAGGAAAATGGGAAATAAGCATTAAGTATTTGTGTATAAAATGGAAAAATAATATGGGAAGTCTAAGAAATTTAGTTAAGGATATTCAAAATTTAATTTTATATATATAAAAAAAAATTAATTCTTGACCTATATATTTTGTACATCTTTTTTTATATATATAATATAATTTTTCGATGAATGATGTGTAACTGACCACTTTAAATTATATGAGGCTACGCCACTCAAAGGCAAAGAGTTTGAGGTTCTAAATTTTAGGACAGATGAGAAAAATATTGCATAATAGTGGGGTTCGAACCCACAACACTAGTGCGAAAAACATTTTCACCGTTCTTTTTTACTACCGAGCTATTAATCAATTTTTGTAAGGAGTTCACAAGCTAATATACATATATATTTATTTTATTTTATTTTATTTTCTAATACAAATACAGGATCTACGAAAAATCTAGCTAGTTGGTTCGTTCGAATCCATGAACTCCACCTAGCTCCGCCTG